GATACAAAAAGAATTTTATACTCTATAAGTCATATGTACAACCTGACATTGTACAATACAAATAGTTGAAAATGAATGAGTTAGTTTGATATGATCTTGTATGAAATTTTTTTTACTATATCAATCATTTGTATGACTAGATATCATACAGTACGAATAGTTCAGAAAAATCAACCCTTACTGGAGTAATTAGATTTTGTAGGAAAACTATGTTAAATCATGTAATATAATTAGTAATCATACAATATGATCAATTTTAAAAATATTACCACTCTCCCCCTGGGTGTGTGTGTGCATGGTTATCCAATTACAAATGCATTCGCTCAAATTCTAGAATAAAAGTAACACCCCCGATTCATGAACTATAAATTGCATATTGATTAGGCATATCCCAGGGCCTGTCCTCCAAATCTTTTGCTCAATTTGATTTCTCTAATCCTAGAAACTGAATTGAAATCTAAAGGCTATAAAACCTTTAAATATTTATAGCTTATGCCACTGAACTTGCCATCTAGTGGATTTTGACCTCAGAGCCTTCTCCAAAGCCTCTAACCACATAAATAACCTTGATCATGACATGTTAAGTAATAAAATACCTTTTGGTGGACCCATTTTAAGCCCCAATTGACCAGGGGTCAAAATGACCAAAAAGCCTCTTAAGGGAAATTTTTAAGTTCTCTCCAAACATCAATATGGCCCAGTCAAATCAAACCCTAGAACCTCCTCCAATGCATTCTAAATATCATAAGGAGTGTTGAGACTCAAACCTAGACCATGGTTAGACCTAGTTGACCAGGTCAACATAGACCTAGTTGCCCTTTAGGGCTTGGAAAAGTTATTTCAAACCAAATGACCTCATGTTTTGCATGAGACCTCTTCCACTCAACTCAAAAAATCATTTTAAACTTGTTGGACCCAATCCCTAACCCTAGGTCAACTTGGTTGATCAAGTTAACTAGGGTTGACCGAAATACCACTTAAGGGTCCAAATAGTCAATTTAACTGAACTGACCTTCCCAACACCTAAAATCACCTCTATCAGATCTCAAATGTCATTTCAAACCTGTTGAGCCCAAACCTAAACCTTGGGTCAACCAGGGTTAACCACAATGCCCTTTAAGGGTTAAATTTATTATTTTCACTGAAATGACCCATTCAGATAATGGGACCACCTCCAGTGGTCTCTAAACATCAAACTAAACATGTTGAGGCCAAACCCTGACCTTGGGTCAAGCTAATTGACCAATTCAACTAGGGTTGACCATATAAACCCTCAAGCCTTTTTACACCCAATCAAGCTCCAAATCAAAATTAAATCCACTCAAACTCCCTTGGCCACATCCCTCAATAATTTGAACTACATTAAACCCTTTGACCCAGTCAATAGCTGACTTGGTCAACTAGGCCCATGATAGGTCAAAGTAGACCCATTTGACTCAATTCAATGCTATTAATTATATCAATCCATTTTAAAACCCATCAAATCCTCACATGCATTGAATTCATGGTTTAACTGCTTCCAAACTCACCCTGGATCAAATTTTGATTAGTTTTACCAAGTCAACCTTTTGGTTTTGGTTGAATTCCTATACTTTTAGAAAAATCCACATGCATCCTCAATCAAGCCATTAGAGGTCCATTCAAATAGCCCCCTATATTCTCTAGGTGCCACGTTAGCTCACTTTGTCCAAGTTGACTAGTCAAAGTAGTCAACAAAGCTTTAAGGGACTATTAATGGTCAAATCACATGTTCAAATTCATTTTAAACTAATCTACTTTACTCCATCTATTTAATATATTTCTAGAACATTCTTAGGTCAATTTTAGACTTTAATTTGAGATCAAACATGCCTAATCAGGTCCATATGCTTACAAGGACAAGATGGATTTCCACCTCATATCCTATTATCCTTTTTTATTCCACTACTCCTAACTACCCTCAGGCCACTTGGAAATATCATAGATACGCTCCAAAGCTATCTCAGCCGCTCATTCTACCTTGGTCATTTTGAATAGGGCAAAACTCCTAAAATGAGCAGCATTCATCTTCTAGCTCTCTTTCGCTGCCCTAACCTCCTATAGACCAAAACGTTTTTTGTTTTCCCTATAGAGACTCTCCTCACACTTTTTTAGCCCAAACCCACCGGTCAAGCCTCGTCGGCGATGAGTTCTCTAGTGAACTGAAGCGAGATTTGTCCAAGGCCCCTACCGCTTTATCCAGTGAATTTCATATCACGATTTCAATAACAAAAATGTATGAAGATAGTTTACAAGCTCAACCGAACAAAGAACCTTCAAATCCAATGGTTGGATTGAGGTAAAACCCTAACCCTAGGTCAGAACACATATTTAAATAACATTTCATTAACCGATTTTCAAGCTGAAAAAAGCAACTTCCATATTTTATGTTCATGATATATGTTTGTGTTTAAATTTTCAAATGATTTGGTCTACTGATTAAGAGAACGAGGCAAAAAATAAATCCTAGTGCGTCCTCCATAGTGTACATGAATGGGACATTGATCTTACGATCAACAGCCTATTTGTGTCATCCTATGGTTATTCATAACCGTGTAGATCGATTAGTTACGGAGATATCCGTCCAGCTTAATATTGGTCGTTCATTCCAAATCACGAAAGATCGGATGGCTATGGTCTTACGCTGCCACAAATAAGTAAAGAATGTGGAACCTATGTATTAAACACTAATGATTGCGGCAGCATAATCATTGGCAATTAATACCGCCGCCGGCAATCACTGCCCGAGTTTTAAAGGATCCAATATAAAGTCGCGACGTAGCACTCCCATAAGCGGATTAGGTACTAATTAAATTTAATTAATTTTAATATTATCTATAAAAAAACTTCAAAAAATTATTAATAAAAGAATTATTAAAAATTAATATATAATATCAAAATATTAAGTTAATTAAATCGTTTAATTTAAAATTAATATGATTATAAAACAACTAATATATTTTAGATTATTTAAAGTATTTAAAAAAGATAAATAATCATAGAATTATTTTAAGATATTTTAATTTGAAATTAAAATTAGTTTAAGATATTTCATATATTTTAAATAATTTTAATTATTTAAAATTTGAATATTTAATTAATTTTCAATTAAATATTAACTTAAATAATTTTCAAAAATCACAAACTTGTATTCTAAAAAATATTTCATATTATTAAGGTATTCTCAAAAATTATTTTGAAATTATCTTAATTTTTCTAGAAATTTTAAATTTGATCTATTTTTATATAAATTTTAATTTGAAATTTATATATGTTAAATCCCTTGAGAGCTTTGAGTGAGAGCTTTGAAATCTTAAACATAGGTTGAGTTTGATTGAATAAATTTGATGGGAAAGTATTAGTGAATAATTGTATTCTAATTATTCACTAATCATGTCATCCTTTATGTTTACTATCTCTTAATATGCTTGTTTAAGAGGTACTTTCACTTAGCTTAAGCTCTCATAGTTCTAAAAACTTGATTGTGGTTGTGCATATACTCATATGTGTTTGTCCGAGGGTTAGAAACACCTATTTCAATCCCATCTAATGTTGTGACATCTAAGGACAATAATTAATGACATTTTGTCAAGAAAATTTAGATTGATTTTTTAATAAAAAAAAGATTTTTCATTAATATCAAAAGTTAGGTACAAAAAAATACAAACTAGAAAAAACAACAAAAATGCCTCCCCAACACGAGCTAGTATACACAGAAAAAAAAAAAAGGGCAAAGACTAAAACCCCTTATATGAAAATGAGAGCACCCCCATGGAAAAGAAGACCTCAACAATGATCATTTGAGGGGCCCAAATCCCCACCCAAGATCACATCACTTGCTTTTTTCCTCTTTCAAGGGGGAGTGATGACAGGCCCCAATTGTTGTAGTTCTTTCTGAAGGAGTTCTTTGCTTTGAGGGGATCAGACTGTTGTTGGACATATCCTGCTATTTTGAGGTTTTTAGCAGTGAAAGGATTAAGCTCTGGGTTGGATCAGCTAACATAGGAAAGGGGGGTCTCATTTCATGTCCTTTAAAAGGAAGATGTCCATTTTGCTTGGGCATTCGCATTCTAGTGACGACATTTCCCAATTTGTATGAAGGTTGGGAAGATGGAGGATCACTGCTGAGTATGCACATGAATAGTTGGGTTCTCCATTGATGAAGATTGAAGAGTGCTGTTAATATGCTGCAACTTAGTCTTGCAAGGGAAAGTCTCCACTTTATGGACAATAATTTCACAATGAAACAAAAGATGAGAAAGGCCCTCATACTCAACTCTTTGAAAAAAAATCTTCCATTTAGTCCCTTACTCTAAAAGCCTAGGGAGAGTTTCTTCATAAAATCAATGTGGAAACACACTCTGGCAAACAAACTTTGACCCCAAGAGGATGATTGTTCATCCATCCAAAGAGGTTCTCTAATCATTGCAGCTATACAGACAATATTAGAAGGATCCTAATACATCAAAGGAAGATGAGGAAAGCGTACAAAAATTGGTGAGATGAACCCCTTCATATCCTTGAGAGAGAAGGAACATGACCACCAATAAAGGTTATTACGCTTCCAGCCATAATCCAAAGACCACCCCTAAGGATGACATCACGAGCTTCAGGGCTTTAAAAAATACAAATAAAAAAATTTGGAGCAATGTTGATCAATTGAAAATCGCCGACATGAGACCGTCGCCTTGATAGTTCACCTTGGAGCCGAGCAAATGAGATCCTCTTGCTCAGGTGTTTATCAACTATAGCACGTTCCAATTTTGAAATATTATCTTAAACTTTGTTAAAGTTAAGACTCAAGGAAATTCCATCCTCATCAAGCACCTCTTGTTTGTGAATCTTGTCTAAAGGGGTAAAAGAGGGCATCCTCAAAGAGAAATGGCCTGGGCTTTGATCACCAAAAACCTTACATTGTTTAGGGGAATTCTGATTGTTGGAAAGGGGCTAAAATTCTGCACTAATTGCTCTCAAGTTATAAGAAATAGGCCTAGAAGCAATAACACAAATAGCTGGAGTGTAAATTTTTGTTACAAGAGGACTTGCGCTGCAGCAATAGGACATTTAACCCTACAAGAATCTAATCTTCCAGCTAAACTATGGGAATTAGACATTGACGCATTTACACAAGTAGCATAAGTGCATTTTCCTGAAGCATGAGGATCTTGTGCAGAAGCATTCAGAAGGCTAACACACCTGCAGGAAGAAGCTAAGCAGCCATCCAAATCATTCAAAATCCTACCACCGGACATTAAAAGATCATCCACACATGGGATATTTGTTTCAAGTGAACAAACCTGCACACGACGCATCAAGGAAAGCTCTCCTTCATTTTGCACTTACTGGTAGCAACCGAACTTCTGGTCACAGACTTGGCGAACGGATGAAACTAGGAAATAGCATGGTTTATGCTCATCTGACAGCTGCCCTTACGGTATGCAATTGGAGATGAAGTTGAAGTTATGATGATAAAAAATGATCAAATCAGCCACACACTTCATCTGTTGCTCCTGTTCCTCAGAGGAAACAACACTAGACAAAAGATGAAATCCAGCCGCATGAACATCAAGCAAATCCTGATCGCAAGCTTCGATTTCCATGCCTTATAATAACTTCAAAAAATTGCCATGTTTTGAGGCTGTCCTACCAGCACTACACCCACCAAAGCGGGGAGAACATCGTCAAGCAAGGTTTTGAAAACCGGACCGGACAACGAACCGGAAGAAGGAGAGGTTCAAGGTTCGACCGGTTTGACCGGTCGAACCGGGGTCGAACCGGATGATGTAATAAATACTAATATTATTAAAAATTTATAACATTAATAGAATAATTATGTGAATTTAACATCAAATAATATAATTCTAAGAATTTAAATTATATAATTTTAATAAATTATCTCTCAATATAATTAAATTAAATTGAAATGATGAATATATTATAATATAATTGTAATTTATAAAATATTTATGAATATCTAATAATTTAACTATAATTAATTTTTCTATTTCATTATAATTATAATAAATGAGATTCTTATAATATACATTATAACAAATTAAAAATTTTAATATAATATATAAATTTATAATATTAAATTTAAAAATGTGTAATAAGAATAATATTTAATATAATATATAAATTTATATAATTAATTTATAAATATACATCATAACAAATTTATAATACAAAATTTAAAAAATTTTGCACCCAACTAGCCCAAATTCGTGGTCCAACCAGCCCAAATTTGTGGCCCAACAAACTCAATTTAATGGCCCAATAAAGCCCAAGCTCACATTTAAGCTCACATAGCATTCATGTACTCTTTTTTAGTCCCACATCATGAAGAAGTAAGAGATAGTTGGCTTTTAGCTCTATATATAGTTCCCTCTTTTCAAACAAAACTTGTTTCATGAGATGACAACCATATATTATGGTGTAAAAAATCTCATTATTTAATAAAAAAAATATTTTTAAAAAATGTAATGAAGTAAAATATATATTATTTATATTTTATTTATCATTA